AATTCATAACTTTTCCCAATGAGAACCGATTTTGCTCATTTTCAATACCAAACTGCCTAGGACAATAGGGAATATTCTGGCCAAATTTCAATAATTTATTTCACTTCGTTTTTACGTGAGCGTGTTTTAGACAGACGGACGGACATAGTCTGTTCTCACTGACTCAGAATTTCATAAGGACCCAGAATATATATAGTTTGTTGGGTCTCAGATGAATATTTCTTGGTGTTACACACGGAATGTCAAAATTATATATACCCTCTATCACCACTGATGGTGGTGGAGGGTATAATAAGCAACGGCAACAAAACTATGCCAAACATTAATAAAACAGAAATATTCAAGAAAATAATGTCGTTAAAACAAATTTAAGAAAAAAACTAATATTGTTGTTATATAAGGCAGCACACTTCTTAACATTATAGATGACATTCTTGTCATCAACTAATATAATTTTATCTTTGACCTTTATGACGTTTGACGTTTTATGTTGACCGGGTGCTCCGTAACTGGAACAACCACATGCTAAGGAACAGATGGATAAGCTGCGAGATGTACGATATAACTATCAGGAAAAAGGTATGCAGGAAAAAGGTATTTCGCGGTATTCCAAAGGGTGGCATTTTGTAACCTTTACTCTGGGTTACCACGATTAATAGCTTCCTAAGGACCCTAACCGAGAAATGACTTAGACCTGTCTGCTATGCAGACGATGTCGTAATACTTTTAAAGGGAAAGGAGCTAGATTACTTGTGTAGAAGAGCTGAGGAGGCTCTGAATACTGCCTTGAACTGGGCTCAACCGAGAGGCCTCAATGTTAACCCGTCAAAAACGGAAATCTGTCTTTTCACAAGAAAGACAAAAATTTCTACGTATACTGAACCTTGCTTCCTGGGCAAGAAGATACCAGTGACAGACAAAGTTAAGTACTTATTCCTCGACCGGAAATTAAAATGGAGACACCACATAGAGGATAGGCTAACACAAGTTGGCTTTATAAAAGTGTAATTAGACCAATTCTTATTCTTCAATAATCTGGTGGACTGCTTTAGACAAAAAGTGCAATATCAAACTACTACAGGGAGTTCAGCGTACATGCTTCTTAGGTATAAATGGTGCCATGTGTACTACTTCAACCAAGGCTCTGGAAACGTTGCTAGATATTCCACCCATTGAAATATATTTAAGATATGAGGCGGCGCTTACAGCCGAACGGCTCTTTATTTTAGGCGAACTAGCCAAAAGCGATTACAGGACACATCATCAATGTATACTGGACACATTGGAAGGTTATACACAATCATCGGACGTGCCTGATCGTATACTAGACACAGAATATGTCGGAAACTTTGAAACGCTGATTTCAAGCGTTTCAAAGTTTCAAGCGGAACATTAGAGCAAATACCAGTAGGAATCCGTTGTTACACGGATGGCTCTAAATTGGGGGACAAAGTGGGAATGGGGTTCTATATTGAAGTCCCAGAAACAGAAATATACCACCGTTTACCAAATCATAACACAAGCTTCCAGGCAGAAGTACGAACAATAACGGAATGTGTAAATTGGATTAGAATAAATATGGCGCCCACAGCACTTAATATATTTACCGATAGCCAGAAGGCAATTAGGGCGATATCAGGCGATAGAACTAAATCTAAGACCGTATTGGATTCTAAGAAAGCCTTAACTGAATACTCTCCCAGGGGTAAGGTTCACATCATATGGGTGCCAGCCCACTCGGGAGTAGTCGGTAACGAAAGGGCGAATGTAATAGCTTTAAAGGGTAGGGAGGTGGAGGCAGTTAACATGACAAACGCAAAACCATTCGACGCAACAAAAGCTGAACTAAAAATATGGGTGAGAGAGTCCCATAAGGCCTCTTGGAATAATGAAACAGTGGGTAGAACCACGAAGATCCTATGGGGTGACCCTGATGAGAGCAAGACGAAAAATCTCCTCAAAATTATTAAGTCTGAAGTTAGTATGATGGTACGTATTCTGAGTGGACACACAGGATTACGAGCACATCTATACAAAATTGGACGTGCGGATTCAGACGAATGTAGAGCATGTGGAGAGGACAGTGAAACTCTGGAGCACTTTCTTTGCCACTGCCAGGCATTCGTCGAAGTTAGATCCGAGTATCTTGGAAGTGACGTTATTCCGGAAACAACATTCCTGACTAACACTGATTGGAAGATTCTTAGGAATTACGTTCAGGAAACTGAGTTTATGAACACTGAAAATAATTCATTCAGTTTCTTTTTTTTTCATGATAAGGAGCGCACAACAGGCCCGATAGTGGCCTAGGTGTATTCCTTCGGATTTGATGTAGTATACATCCTCCTATCAACCTACCTACCTTCCTACGGGAGCTATGACCAAATATGGACCGATAGTGAAACAATTTTAAAATTACATTTTTGTATACAAAAGTAATATTTGTGCCAAATTTTGTATAGATATTATTATTTGGTAATGAGTTATGTGCATTATTCGTTATTAACAATTAATACATTTTCCGGGAACATGTACATTTGTATGGGAGGTATATGAAATTGTGGACGGATTCCGCCCAGGAATCAAGCTTTCATATAGAAACAATTTTTTGCTGATTTTTACAGCAAATATAATATAATTTTCCGAAACTATAAAGTATATATATTCCGAGTCCTTATAGATAGCGGAGTCGATTAAGCTATGTCCGTCTGTCTGTCTGTCTGTGTGTTTGTTGAAATCAATTTTCTGAAGACCCTAGATATCTTCGGGATCCAAATCTTCAATAATTCTGTTGGACATACTTTCGAGAAGTTTCCTATTGAAAATCAGCAAAATCGATCCATAAATAACGGAGATATGAGCAAAAATCCGAGACAACCTCTGAAAATTTCATCAAAAAAGCAACAACAACACTGCTTATTGTATTAAAGGTTGGTTTCATTGCGATGTGTGTTTTGTTTTTGTTTTTTTGTGTATGTATTTCGTTTCATATGTTTGGATGACTGTGGCTTCATCGCCTTGTGTATTTTGTTTTTGTTTTTTTTGTGTATATTGTTTCTAATGTTTGGATGGCTGTGGTTTCATTACGTTGTGTATTTTGTTTTTTCTGTTTTTTATTTCGTTTAGCATTGTTGTTGTTTCTCTTGTTTTGCTTAAGTTATGACAGGGTCGGGATGATGAAATAAATTGATATTTTATAAAATTAATATTTTTTAAACACATTATGGTGAAGGGTATATAAGATTCGGCAAAGGCGAATATAGACTTCTTACTTGTTTTTTTAAATTTTGATTCATAACTCTCTTCGATGTAAACCGATTTAGCTTATTTTCAATACCAAACTGCCTAGGACATTAGTGAATCTTTTGGCCGAATATCATTAATTTATTTAGCATCGTTTTTACGTGAACGTGTTTTGCACAGACAGGCAGACGGACATAGCTAAATCAACTCAGAATTTGATAAGAACCCGGGACTAAGATGAATATTTCTTGGTGTTACACACGGAATGACAAACTTATATATACCCTCTATCATCACTGATGGTGGTGGAGGGTATAAAAATATTCTCAAAAATATAAAAAGTAATCAAACGAAAATCCAAAATAAATTTCGTTTCATTGTCATTATATTTAAAACAAATTGATTAAATTTTTACTCGATAAAAATATTCAAGCCAAGAATTGTAAAAGAGCCGAATCTTAAATACCCTCCACCAGCTACTTTTATATTAATGCTTTTTTAATTGATCAAATATTTGTAGAAATAAGTTTTCTCGACTTTTTTAAGAGAAAACCCCAAGAACATTGAACATAACCAACACCATTCTCTTTTGGATTTCTATAGCGCCCTAAAATATGCGTTAGCGATATTTAAACATATTAAACATTTTAAGGAAATTCAAATATACTGTGTAACGTTAAAAGTCGTCGCCTCGTTTTTAACGTACAATTATTTTTTATTATTATTTTATTTATATTTAATAATCGAATTAAAAATACTTTTCTTTGTTTTATAATTTAACGACTATTTACTTATTTATGCAACGCCACCTGGGTGTAAAAGAAATTTAAATTACTTTATAGAATTTTTTAAATTTAACGTTTATATGGTTAAGCAATGCCATCTAGGTGTAAGAATCCTACTTAGTTAAGATCGTATACCTTTAAAATACAACAATGTATACTAAGATACCATTATAAGCAACCATGTACTTGACTGCGAAAATTTAATATAAAAGGAGTCATAGTTAAGTAGTGTGAGTCAGTCTTCGCCGAGCTTCGAGTTAGGTAAGACAAGTTACTTGTACGGTGGTTGGACCGCTGGCAAATAATTTATCTTATTAAATGAGCTATTGGGAAGCAATGATTCTGGTGGTTGGACCGCTACGAACCTTTGCTTAAGAATACTCTTTATTAGATGAAGTGTGGTTGTTGCGGAGTTTGGAATTCCCAACAACACACTTATCTGACGTGGGGGAGTTTCTCCGCTAGTGATACTCTCGTGGTTGGACCGCAAGAGTGTATCTGCTTGTGAGAACTCCATGAAGCAAGGTTGAGGTTTAAGTGAGAAATAAACTTTATAACGTTGTGAAAAATACGTGTTGTTCTTATTTCTCTCGGTCTACAAAAATATAAATTTTTGTAATGAACCACTGGCACCGGCAAGTATACCCCAGCCAGAGACATCGTTACAATGGCGCCCGAGCAGGGACCGAGAGATTAAGAAAGTGGTGTTAAAAAAAAAAAGGGAGTTTACAAAAAAACAAAAGTAGACTGTATCAAAACTGTGAATGATTGAACAAAAAGAACATAATAAGAGAACTGTGTTAAAAGAAAAATATTATTATAAAATAATGATCGCGAAAGGAAACAAGAATTAAAAACAAATAGAACTAACTGAATTAAAAACTTTAATTGTGCGTGGAATCGTGTTTTATCCTTGTTTTATGTTTTATAAGAAAAATAAAAGAATTACGGTGAAAAAAAAAATAATATAATATGTTGAAATCAAGTTGGGCATATACTTTAAAACGTGACGAACTATCGTCTTATTTAAATGAATTTAAATTAGATACCGTCGGAACGGTCGAAGAACTCAGAAAGAGATTAGCGAAATTTATTAGCGCCGAACACGACGAAGATAAAACTAAACGATTATTAGAGATACAATTAACACATGAGCAAAATTCATTAGCGTTACCTGGTTCGAGAAACGGTACCACCCCTTCACCTGTTAAAATAGAATTAAATCATCCGGTTAGTCAACCATCAGTAGCAGTGTCGGTTCCAGCTTGTGACACAGATAACATCAAAACAAATTTAATTGAATATGTAAGAAAATGGGGACTTTCGTATGATGGAGGACGGGAGCCTTTAGCATTCATCGAACGAATAGAAGAATTAGCCGAAATTTATAACGTACCTTTAAATCAATTTCCACGAATTATGCCTGAATTTTTACGTGATAGAGCACTTATCTGGTTTAGAAATAACAATGGACACTGGCAAGTATGGAGATCATTTAAATCCGATTTTTTATCATTTTTTCTACCTTCGAGATATTTTGAGAAATTAGAAGATGAAATCCGTAAAAGAATTCAACGTCCAAGAGAAGTTTTTAAAAATTATGTTTTATCAATTCAAAATTTAATGCGCCATTCTAACTTATCAGAAGAACAAAAGTTGCAGCGAATATTTCAAAATGCTCTTCCAGACTATCAGTGGTATATTAAACGAAAAGATTTCTCATCCTTAGCTGAATTAATAACATTAGCTGAAGATTTAGAAAGCATTCCATCAACACATTCACAAACTCGCGTAGAAAACCCACGTGCTTTAGCCAGTACCACAATAGGCCCAGAAAATAATTGCTATCGTTGCGGTAACCCTGGACATTATGCAGCAAGTTGCTCTAGTAATTATAATAACCGCTCGGGAAATGCTTATGGAGGTCGTCGGAACTGAGGGACGACGAGCCTCCGAAAACGCAACCCTCAAATAATAATACTAGTTTACAAAGTGAAGATTCGCGTTTAACCGCCTCAATACTATTATGTGGAAAAATCGTCAAAGCAACTATTGATACCGGAGCGAGTAGAAATTTTATCCAAGAAGATTTTGTGAAAACGCTTAGCAAAAATCCAACGTATTTAAATGAAGACATCGATGTAATATTGGCAGATGGCTCTGCCAGATCCTTATCACGAGCCGTAGAATTTAATGTGGTACTAGGAAATATTTCAAAAACTTGTAATTTTCTAGTGATGTCAGAAACTAGCGAAAACATTATTGTGGGATTAGATTTTATGCGTATTTTCAATACAACTATTCACATGGCTGGTTTAACACTAGACTGTACTAAGGCAGAAGCAAAGTGTATGAGTGTGGATGAAATCAGCAATGAGGAGATACCTCGAGAAGACAATGAAGAACGTAAACATGATAGTAATATAATATTAAAGGAAGAAACCCAAGATATCATCAACAAATTTCTAGAAAATGAGCTGTCCAAATTTCAAAATATGCATGGTCTATCAACAATTACAACTCATAAAATAATCGTCACGGATGATCGCCCTGTTAAAATTCGTTACACCCCCAGAAACCCTGCTATGCAAAATATAATTGATGCTGAAATCAACAAATTAATTTCACAAGGATGTATAGAACCGTCACATAGCCCATATTGCTTTCCAATCACCCTTGTAAAGAAGAAAAACGGAACCTGGAGAACATGTATGGATTTTCGACAATTAAATGCTAGGTCAGTTCCTGATGCATACCCTCTTCCACGTATAGACAGTATTTTAAACCGACTTCGAGAAGCAAAATATATCAGTAGTCTAGATTTAAAAAATGGATATTGGCAGATACCAATGGATGAGGATAGTAAAAAGTTCACTGCTTTTGCTGTTCCTGGCCGTGGTTTATACCAGTGGCGAGTAATGCCATTTGGACTTCATTCTGCGCCAGCAACTTTCCAACGTGCATTAGATAGTATAATCGGACCCGAAATGGAACCCCATGCTTTCGCATACCTTGATGATATCATTGTAGTAGGAAAAACTCTAGAAGAACATATGAATAACCTAAAAGAAGTCTTTCATAGACTGAGAAATGCAAATTTAAAAATTAATGTAGAGAAATGTAAATTCTTCAAAAGTGAAACAAAATATTTGGGACATGTTGTGAGTGAGGAAGGTATAAAAACTGATCCGGATAAGGTATCCGCAATCGCAAAAATTCAAGTCCCGAAGAATGTTAAAGATGTTAGAAGATTTTTAGGAATTGCCTCGTGGTATCGTAGATTCGTACCAGATTTCGCAACCATATCACAACCGTTAACACAACTATTAAAGAAAGGTAAACACTGGAGATGGGAAGCTGATCAGCAACAATCATTTGAATTATTAAAAACCAAACTTACGAAAGCACCGGTATTAGCATGTCCGGATTTTGCAAAAACATTTACATTACAAACGGATGCTAGTAACTATGGATTAGGAGCTGTTTTAACTCAAGAAATTGAAGGTAGTGAAAGAGTAATAGCTTATGCTAGTCGTCATCTCAACGGAGCGGAGAAGAACTATTCAGCGACTGAAAAGGAATGCTTGGCCATTTTATGGGGCATTCGGAAAATGCGAGCTTATGTAGAAGGTTATAAATTCGTAGTCATCACCGATCATCTAGCTTTAAAGTGGCTAAATTCTATAGAGAGTCCTGCCGGCAGATTGGCCCGATGGGCACTTGAACTACAACAATACAATTTTACAGTAAAATATAGAAAAGGTAAACACAACATCGTCGCTGACGCACTATCACGCAATCCAGTAGAAGTTGCAAACTTAGTTAACTGTGAACCATTAAAAACAAACGAATGCGCGTGGATTCAGAAAATGAAGAAGAAGGTGAAAGAGAACCCTATAAAATACTCTGATTACGCAATTGTTGAAAATCAACTATACCGCCATTTCCCACAAGAGTTAAGAGATGGAGATGGTACTTCGTGGAAATTATGTGTCGCTGTAGATCTAAGGAATAGAGTTCTTCAAGAAAATCATGACAGTGCCACTGCTGGACACCTAGGAATACGTAAAACAATAAATAGAATCGCTAACCGTTACTATTGGCCGGGAATGTCGAGAGATGTAAATCGTTATATTCGACGATGTATGTCCTGTCAACGTTACAAGATAAGTCAACAGAAACCAGTTGGAGAAATGTTAACAAGATTGCCTGATGAACCATGGGCTACCCTTTGCGCTGACTTTGTAGGTCCCTTGCCCAGGTCAAAACATGGAAATACTATGTTATTGGTTTTCTTTGATAAATTTTCCAAGTGGACTGAGTTGGTGCCGATGCGTAAAGCTACTACAGATGGAGTAATAAAGTCGTTTCGTGAACGAATACTTTCTCGATATGGTATTCCTAAAGTCTTAATAACAGATAATGGAACACAATTTACCTCAAGGAATTTTAAACGTTTTCTAAATGAATTAGGCATAAATCAGCAGCTTACTGCACCATACACTCCACAGGAAAATCCTACTGAAAGAGCTAACCGAACAATCAAGACAATAATCGCGCAATTCTCAAGTGATCAACACAATAGATGGGATGAGTTACTCCCCGAGATTATGCTGGCTGTAAATACCAGTGTATCTGAATCAACAGGATTTTCACCAGCATTTATAACTCAAGGAAGAGACCCACGTTTACCAAAAACATTGTACGATGAGGTAACCATTGGTACAGGAGTAGAAAGTTTGAGTTCATCGAGACGAAAAGATGAAATGAAAGATGTATTCGAAATTGTTAAGAGAAATTTGAGCAAATCATTCGAAAACCAGAAAAGATATTATAATCTAAGAAGGCGTCAATGGAAACCGAAAGTTGGTGAACTAGTTTGGCTCCGACAACACCCCCTATCGAAGGCTACAGATAATTTTGCGGCAAAACTGGCTCCCAAATTTGAAGGCCCGTATTCCGTGAAACATTTTCTATCACCTGTAATAGTAAAAATTCAGAGAATAGAAAATCAGGAAGTTAGAACAGCACATTTAAATGAAATTAAACCTTATATAAATTAGTATTTCTTATTACTAATTCTATATTCTTTTTAACTATTCCTTAGACGACCGACAGAAATAAAAAGAAAAATGGACGGTAAGAAGAAATTCGATGACACCAGCAAGAAGTTCCGAAAACGTATGGAAGAAGAGAAAGCGAAGGTTCGTCGAACCATATTTATTGATGACGAGATGCCAACAACCAGCAAAAAGAGAAAGACATGCAACCAACCCAGAAAAACGGCAACATATTTTCGTATGAGCTCTGCAAAACCCCAAGCAACAGTCCGTACAAAAGAGAAATTGCAGGAAAAGACGGAAGATGTTTGCAAGGAGAACCAAACGCCACTAAAGAACAAATATATCTCACCCAACAAGGGTAAAGATCCTGTGAGAAAGGACAACAAGGATGAAGTTATATGCCTGTCGTCCGACGAAGGAGAAAATGAAGATCATGAATGCTTAAACCCAACTGTCGAAGAAAATATACCACCTACTCCCGGTAACGACGTGGTAAACTCGCCTATGTATGCGCCACCAAATTACCATATTGATAATCTGGGTAACGAGGAACAAGAACCATGGTTCAGCCCGCTTTATGGTGAACCAGAAGTTCCAATGACACCTGGAAAATCAAATAACGACGCATATTCTCCGCCGTGCGACAGATGCAATAGTAATGATTGCAGTGAAGAAGAATTATTGCCACGACCGGAAGACGATGTAGAAATGCCATCTCCTGATGAAATGGAAGAAATCTTTCGTTCTTCATTTGGACACTTCGACGATACATTATGTCTCCGGCAACCATCACCAACATCAACATCATCACCAAAATCGTCAACATCATCACCTCAAAGAAAAAGAAGTGGCTGGTTCACCATTGACGTCAAAGACGAAAGATGCCATAATTTTTGCGGTCATATGGGTTATCAAAGATCCATTATCTATCGATTCTGGGTCGACCAAGCCAAACAATATCCAGAAATCGGTGCTGATGCAAATGCAAATAAAGAAAATCAATATCTTGATTCGCCCAGTTCATCCCAATTGTCATGGCTAGAAGTTTCACCGAACCCCAGACTGGTCACCACCACTCCAGCACCTATGAGACGTTTGTCACAAAGCTCGGCTGAGAAATCACCAAGCCTTACGCCCGTGATATCATTGTTTTCAACTCCAATATTGTCACCACTTAATCTGTCAATATTATCTTCAGTGGGGTCTCATACTTCAATAAAATCGCAGACTAGCCTATTATATTTCGCTCCGTCATGCGCCCCTAGTCAATCTATAAGACAGCATCAATCATCGTCATCAACATCATCATCGTCGTCATCACCTTCATCGTCATCAACGTCGTCATCATCTTCATCGTCATCGCCGTCATCAGCAACATCGATATCATCACCCGTATCATCAACGCCTAAGCCATCGTCCACAGAAATTTTGGAAATAGAAGACGAAAATGTGCAGCAGCCAGAAGAAACTAGTGATAATATCCCCAACCAAAGGATGTCGCCAACAACTACACCAATTCCAGGATGGGACGATATATCACAAATGCCTAGCGAACTACGTGCCAAAATTGAAGACATTTGTAGTACCAGAAAAAAAGGTCAACCTTGCCCAGGTCAAAACATGGAAATACTATGTTATTGGTTTTCTTTGATAAATTTTCCAAGTGGACTGAGTTGGTGCCGATGCGTAAAGCTACTACAGATGGAGTAATAAAGTCGTTTCGTGAACGAATACTTTCTCGATATGGTATTCCTAAAGTCTTAATAACAGATAATGGAACACAATTTACCTCAAGGAATTTTAAACGTTTTCTAAATGAATTAGGCATAAATCAGCAGCTTACTGCACCATACACTCCACAGGAAAATCCTACTGAAAGAGCTAACCGAACAATCAAGACAATAATCGCGCAATTCTCAAGTGATCAACACAATAGATGGGATGAGTTACTCCCCGAGATTATGCTGGCTGTAAATACCAGTGTATCTGAATCAACAGGATTTTCACCAGCATTTATAACTCAAGGAAGAGACCCACGTTTACCAAAAACATTGTACGATGAGGTAACCATTGGTACAGGAGTAGAAAGTTTGAGTTCATCGAGACGAAAAGATGAAATGAAAGATGTATTCGAAATTGTTAAGAGAAATTTGAGCAAATCATTCGAAAACCAGAAAAGATATTATAATCTAAGAAGGCGTCAATGGAAACCGAAAGTTGGTGAACTAGTTTGGCTCCGACAACACCCCCTATCGAAGGCTACAGATAATTTTGCGGCAAAACTGGCTCCCAAATTTGAAGGCCCGTATTCCGTGAAACATTTTCTATCACCTGTAATAGTAAAAATTCAGAGAATAGAAAATCAGGAAGTTAGAACAGCACATTTAAATGAAATTAAACCTTATATAAATTAGTATTTCTTATTACTAATTCTATATTCTTTTTAACTATTCCTTAGACGACCGACAGAAATAAAAAGAAAAATGGACGGTAAGAAGAAATTCGATGACACCAGCAAGAAGTTCCGAAAACGTATGGAAGAAGAGAAAGCGAAGGTTCGTCGAACCATATTTATTGATGACGAGATGCCAACAACCAGCAAAAAGAGAAAGACATGCAACCAACCCAGAAAAACGGCAACATATTTTCGTATGAGCTCTGCAAAACCCCAAGCAACAGTCCGTACAAAAGAGAAATTGCAGGAAAAGACGGAAGATGTTTGCAAGGAGAACCAAACGCCACTAAAGAACAAATATATCTCACCCAACAAGGGTAAAGATCCTGTGAGAAAGGACAACAAGGATGAAGTTATATGCCTGTCGTCCGACGAAGGAGAAAATGAAGATCATGAATGCTTAAACCCAACTGTCGAAGAAAATATACCACCTACTCCCGGTAACGACGTGGTAAACTCGCCTATGTATGCGCCACCAAATTACCATATTGATAATCTGGGTAACGAGGAACAAGAACCATGGTTCAGCCCGCTTTATGGTGAACCAGAAGTTCCAATGACACCTGGAAAATCAAATAACGACGCATATTCTCCGCCGTGCGACAGATGCAATAGTAATGATTGCAGTGAAGAAGAATTATTGCCACGACCGGAAGACGATGTAGAAATGCCATCTCCTGATGAAATGGAAGAAATCTTTCGTTCTTCATTTGGACACTTCGACGATACATTATGTCTCCGGCAACCATCACCAACATCAACATCATCACCAAAATCGTCAACATCATCACCTCAAAGAAAAAGAAGTGGCTGGTTCACCATTGACGTCAAAGACGAAAGATGCCATAATTTTTGCGGTCATATGGGTTATCAAAGATCCATTATCTATCGATTCTGGGTCGACCAAGACAAACAATATCCAGAAATCGGTGCTGATGCAAATGCAAATAAAGAAAATCAATATCTTGATTCGCCCAGTTCATCCCAATTGTCATGGCTAGAAGTTTCACCGAACCCCAGACTGGTCACCACCACTCCAGCACCTATGAGACGTTTGTCACAAAGCTCGGCTGAGAAATCACCAAGCCTTACGCCCGTGATATCATTGTTTTCAACTCCAATATTGTCACCACTTAATCTGTCAATATTATCTTCAGTGGGGTCTCATACTTCAATAAAATCGCAGACTAGCCTATTATATTTCGCTCCGTCATGCGCCCCTAGTCAATCTATAAGACAGCATCAATCATCGTCATCAACATCATCATCGTCGTCATCACCTTCATCGTCATCAACGTCGTCATCGCCGTCATCAGCAACATCGATATCATCACCCGTATCATCAACGCCTAAGCCATCGTCCACAGAAATTTTGGAAATAGAAGACGAAAATGTGCAGCAGCCAGAAGAAACTAGTGATAATATCCCCAACCAAAGGATGTCGCCAACAACTACACCAATTCCAGGATGGGACGATATATCACAAATGCCTAGCGAACTACGTGCCAAAATTGAAGACATTTGTAGTACCAGAAAAAAAGGTCAACGTGTAAAATTTTTATTCGCTGTCGATCACCACACCTACAATGTGACCATAGCAAAGAGTGGTAACGCAAAAGCAGAGCTGCATAAATAAACAATCTTTTAAATTGCTGGAAGGGAGGAACTGTAACGTTAAAAGTCGTCGCCTCGTTTTTAACGTACAATTATTTTTTATTATTATTTTATTTATATTTAATAATCGAATTAAAAATACTTTTCTTTGTTTTATAATTTAACGACTATTTACTTATTTATGCAACGCCACCTGGGTGTAAAAGAAATTTAAATTACTTTATAGAATTTTTTAAATTTAACGTTTATATGGTTAAGCAATGCCATCTAGGTGTAAGAATCCTACTTAGTTAAGATCGTATACCTTTAAAATACAACAATGTATACTAAGATACCATTATAAGCAACCATGTACTTGACTGCGAAAATTTAATATAAAAGGAGTCATAGTTAAGTAGTGTGAGTCAGTCTTCGCCGAGCTTCGAGTTAGGTAAGACAAGTTACTTGTACGGTGGTTGGACCGCTGGCAAATAATTTATCTTATTAAATGAGCTATTGTGAAGCAATGATTCTGGTGGTTGGACCGCTACGAACCTTTGCTTAAGAATACTCTTTATTAGATGAAGTGTGGTTGTTGCGGAGTTTGGAATTCCCAACAACACACTTATCTGACGTGGGGGAGTTTCTCCGCTAGTGATACTCTCGTGGTTGGACCGCAAGAGTGTATCTGCTTGTGAGAACTCCATGAAGCAAGGTTGAGGTTTAAGTGAGAAATAAACTTTATAACGTTGTGAAAAATACGTGTTGTTCTTATTTCTCTCGGTCTACAAAAATATAAATTTTTGTAATGAACCACTGGCACCGGCAAGTATACCCCAGCCAGAGACAACGTTACAACTGTTGTACTCAAAGTATTTATACTAAACTAATTTTACTAAAAATAATGCAACTAGTTAAATGCGGTTAAATTGATTTTCTGAAAGTAACCTAGTATGGGAGATCTGGCCAATTGTAGACCGATCTCAAAAAATAATTACAGCTACATTTCTGTATATAAAAGAAAAATATGGAGCGATCGTGAATAATAAAAAAAATTTCTGTGTACAAAAGTAATATTTCTGCCAAATTTTGTATATAAATTTTGTTATATGCATTTATGGATAGGTAATTTGGTAATAAGTTATGTGCATTTAAGTGATTTTCGGGAGGGTACCTTGTATGGGACCTATGACCAATTATGGACCGACCGTGAATAATTTTTAAAATTACATTTCTGAGTACAAAAGTAATATTTGAGCCAGATTTTGTATAGATATCAATTTTTGGTAATGAGTTATATGCGTTTAGGAGTTTTTCTGAAAGGGACCTTGGATGGGAGCTACGACCAAATATGGACCGATCTGGAGTAAATATCTAGAGTAACATTTCTTTATATAAAAGAAACATTTGCGCCAAATCTTGTATGAATATCTTAATTTAGTAATGAGTTATGTGCATTTAAGTGATTTTCGGGAGGGAACCTTGTATGGGAGCTCCAGAAAAGTAATATTTCTGTGCATATGAGCAATACTTGTACCAAATTTTATATGGATATCTTAATTTAGTAATGAGTTATGCGCGTTTAAGTGATTTTCGGCAAGGGTCCTTGTATGGGAGCTATGACCAATTATGGACCGATCGGAAAAAAATTTCATAGTAATATTTCTGTATGCGAGAGCAATAATTGTACCAAATTTTATATGGATATCTTGATTTAGTAATGAGTTATGTGCGTTTAAGTAATTTTCGGGAAGGGACCTTGTATGGGAGCTATGACCAATTATGGACCGATCGGAAAAATATTTCATAGTAATATTTCTGTATGTGAGTGCAATAGTTATACCAAATTTTATATGGATGTCTTAATTTAGTAATGAGTTATGTGCGTTTAAGTGATTTTCGAGAGGGGACCTTGTATGGAAGCTATGACCAATTATGGACCGATCGGAAAAAACATTCACAGTAATATTTCTGTGCATATGAGCAATACTTATTCCAAATTTTATATGGATATCTTAATTTAGTAATGAGTATGGGAGCTATGACCAATTATGGACCGATCGGAAAAAAAGTTCATAGTAATATTTCTGTATGTGAGAGCAATACTTATACCAAATTTTATATGAATGTCTTAATTTAGTAATGAGTTATGTGCGTTTAAGTGATTTTCGAGAGGGGACCTTGTATGGAAGCTATGACCAATTATGGACCGATCGGAAAAAACATTCACAGTAATATTTCTGTGCATATGAGCAATACTTATTCCAAATTTTATATGGATATCTTAATTTAGTAATGAGTTATGCGCGTTTAAGTGATTTTCGGGAGGGGACCTTGTTGGGAACTATGTCCAATTATGGACCCATCCAGAAAATTTTTTCTCTCAATGAATTCTATTGACATAAGATTTTAAGTTGTAAAATTTTGTGAAGATATCAACATTCTGACGGAAGTTAATAACAATAAACTCATTTTCCGGGAATATGTACTTTTGTATGGGAGGTATATGAAATTATGTACCGATTATGGCAATTTTCAGCAGGAATCAAGATCTTGTGTAGAAACGAATGTATGGTGATTTTCATGAAATTATCTTGCATAGTTTTCGAGAAAATTACATCAGAATGTATAAAAAATGAATGAAATGGGTTCACATTGGGAAAAGTTATGAATTTTGATTCATAACTTTTCCCAATGTGAACCCATATTGCTCATTTTCAATACCGTACTGTACCGGAAAATAAAGATTTTTTTGCTGAATTTCGTTAATTTCCATTGCTTCGTTTCAACGTGAGCGTGTTTTACACAGACAGACGGACGGACAGACAGACGGACATACCTAAATCGACTCAGAATTTCATAAGGACCCAGAATATGTATACTTTGTTGGGTCTCAGATTAATATTTCTTGGTGTTACACACGGAATGACAAACTTATATATACCCTCTATCACCTCTGATGGTGGTGGAGTGTATAAAAAATTTTAATTTATAAGACATAATCAATCCTAATATCCTAATCCTAATATATATTATAAATCTCTTTGTATGTCTGTTCGTTTGTTTATTTGTTTGTTTATTCGTCAATCACGCGTAAACGGCTATACCGATTTTCTTCAAATTTGGAACATGTTTAGATCTATACTTGGAGAGTGTTATAGCCTATATATAGGAGGGGGCAAAAAGGGGGATAAAATGGGTGAAAAACGGGCAAAATGAGTACTTTTGATAGTAAATACTGATTTTGTCTATCATTAAGCAATAGCATTTTCGATTAAACTACTTAATTTGTTAGGTTAGGTTGATAGGAGGATGTATACTACATCAAATCCGAAGAAATACACCATGAAAAAAAAAATTGTTCACTGAATGTATTATTTTTCCATGTTCAGAAACTCAGTTTCCTGGACGTAATTTCTAAGAATCTTCCAATCGGTGTTGGTTAAGAATGTTATTTCCGGAATAACATCACTTCCAAGATACTTGGATCTAACTTCGACGAATGCCTGACAATGGCAAAGAAAGTGCTCCAGAGTTTCACTGTCCTCTCCACATGCTCTACATTCGTCTGAATCCGCACGTCCAATTTTGTATAGATGTGCACGTAATCCTGTGTGTCCACTCAGAATACGTACCATCATACTAACCTCAGACTTGCTCATTTTGAGGAGATTTCTCGTCTTGCTCTCATCAGGGTCACCCCATAGAATCTTTGTGGTTCTACCCACCGTTTCATTATTCCAAGAGGCCTTATGGGATTCTCTCATCCATATTTTTAATTCAGCTTTTGTTGCGTCGAATGGTTTTGCGTTTGTCAGGTTAACTACATCGAGCTCCCTTCCCTTTAAAGCTATTACATTCGCCCTTTCGTTGCCGACTACTCCCGAGTGGGCTGGTACCCATATGATATGAACCTTACCCCTGGGAGAGTATTCAGTTAAAGCTTTCTTACAATCGAATACGGTCTTAGATTTAATTCTATCACCTGATATCGCCCTAATTGCCTTCTGGCTGTCGGTAAATATATTAAGCCCTGTGGGCGCCATATTTATTCTAATCCAATTTACACATTCCGTTATTGCTCGTACTTCTGCCTGGAAGCTTGTGTTATGATTAGGTAAACGGTGGTATATTTCTGTTTCTGGGACTTCAATCTAGAACCCCAGGCCCACTTTGTCCCCTAATTTAGAGCCATCCGTGTAGCAACGGATTCCTACTGGTATTTGCTCCAAAGTTCCGCTTGACCAAGACATTCTATCTGGGATTAGCGTTTCAAAGTTTCCGACATAGTTTGTGTCTGGTATGCGATCAGGTACGTCCGATGAATGTGTATAACCTTCCAATGTGTCCAGTATACATTGATGACGCGTCCTATAACCGTTTTTGGCCAGTTCGCCTAAAGTAAAGAGCCGTTCGGCTGTAAGCGCCGCCTCTCATCACTTATATATGTTTCAATGGGTGGAATATCTAGCAACGTTTCCAGAGCCTTGGTTGAAGTAGTACACATGGCACCATTTATACCTAAGAAGCATGTACGCTGAACTCCCTGTAGTAGTTTGATATTACACTTTTTGTCCAAAGCAGTCCACCAGATTATTGAAGTATAAGCTAGAATTGGTCTAATTACACTTTTATAAAGCCAATTTGTCACAGTAGGACTAAGACCCCATTTCATGCCTATGGTTCTCCTACATATCGCCCAGCACCGATGTGCCTTGTTGATCCTATCCTATATGTGGTGTCTCCATTTTAATTTCCGGTCAAGTATTACACCTAAGTACTTAACTTTGTCACCGGTATCTTCTTGCCCAGGAAGCAAGGTTCAGTATATGTAGAAATTTTTGTCTTTCTTGTGAAAAAACAGATTTCCGTCTTCGCCGGGTTAACATTGAGGCCTCTCGGTTGAGCCCAGCTCAAGGTCGTATTCAGAGCCTCCTCAGCTCTTCTACACAAGTAATTTGAATCATTTCCCTTTAAAAGTATTACGACATCGTCTGCATAGCAGACAGGTCTCAGTCCTTTCTCGGTTAGGGTCCTTAGGAG